CCACCGCTGATAAACCGCTCGTGGCCAGACGGTAAATTGTTTAAACACTGGGCAGGAGGTTTCGTGTTCGAAACTTATTCAGTTTTGTTAGATGCGCACTGCCGATCGTTCTCAATAAGGATGAAACGGTTGCACAGTACTCCTCGGCATTTTCGCCCCACTTGGAGGACGGGATATCTCATGCCAAGAACAAATTATCTGAAAGCATTCCGCATCCAATCAAACAACCGCTGCAGAAAATTTGGATGTTCCAATAGCCCAACGAGCGTGCTATTCCTTGAATTCTATCACAGTAGCGTTCCTTCAGGTCGATGGCATATCCTGACGCAATTACACCAAATATGGAAGGGACGTTCTGGTGATGACTAAGCATCTCCTGGTTGACCGCGCAAACAACAATAGACTAGGTGACCTACAGTGTCACCGATATCAGAATATGTGATGGAAACCAAACGGGTCAGGTCGACACATTTGGCGCTCAGTCAGTTGACTTTGCGCAACATCAAACGATCACTCGTCTTTACCTCGGAGCCAACCTAAACATCTGCACAATATGTCGTTTTCTTGGCCGTTTTTCATATTCGCGACGGGTGAAAACAGGTGAACACGTGACCGACTTCGTCCATCCCTAGTATGCGACTTTATCTACAATTCACTAAGGGACGATCAGCTCAAAGAAGCTGATAAGTTGCGGGACTTGAACATCTGTGCTTAGTCGGTCGAACGCGCGCCCTCTCGTTCAGAAGTTAGGCACCACAGAACTCAGCCAGTGAACCGAAGAGTGATTTTGTTTCTCATGACACAGATTAGCCCAGTTTTGACTAAGAATTTAGCAAGGGCGTCGAACCGGTTGGATTAGTTACACAGTCGATAAATTCGTGTTTTCAAACTTATTTGATATTCGGGTCATCCGACGCTGACAATTCAGTTCCGTATCCAAAAATCTGATGAGTGATTTGAAAAAAGGGACACTTTAGAAGTATAACGGAGAGATTGGCGAGGGGCTTTTGAGCGACATTCTGATGGTCACAGAAGCTCGCCATAAAGTGGACATTGAATTGGTGAGTCGTCTTGATGCCTTAAAATGCTACATCGGGCGAGTTGACCCACAACTCTGCCTCCTCTAATTTTTACTTTGAATTCATCCCTGTTTTCGCTGCGCACCTTTGAGGAAAGCTGGATCGTGTCTTCCCCTTGATGTGTCTTATTTATCTAAGCTTTTCACTCCCGACGTGAGATCAAGTGTACGACGAATGCAAAGTTGTACTCTACATGTTCGTCTTCCGCGTAGTGTTCCGTAGCCTTGATTTACATAGTAACTACTTAATACAGAGTCAGCAGAGGATTTTTTCGTTTCAAGTTTCCAATTTGTGAAGGATTGCTTCGACTAACCTCAAATGAGACTCTTCAAATTTTGCTTGCTGATGTTGCCGTTCTTCATGTGGAAGTGGCAGTGCGGAGTTCGATTTCCAGTTGTTCCGTCGCCAACTTGTTGTGGACCACAGTCCCTTAATGCCTTCTTATTACCGTGAACCCCTGTCTGAATAGTCGCTTGATTGCCTGGTGGGGTTGGCCGAACCAGAAAAAGTCAATGAGCGTGCGAGCCAGCTGATCTATTGATCACTGTCACATTCAAGCGGGTCAAAATGTAATACTAAGAATACAACTCATTTGTCAAGGACGGTTGAAAAACAACCAACGAAATCTGTCTCAACGAAAAACCGTTACTCCATTGGCTGTTATCTGGTCCTGTTGCGGTCGGAGCTGGTTCTCCTAATAGTCATCTTGATTCATGAAGCGGTACAAACGACAGACCTGCGTTCGGTCAATTTATTCAATTTAAACGTTGTTGCTAATGTGAGAATATTTTGGGATTCCTCGTGGGAACTATGTCACGCAAGTTTTTTTGGTGACAACCGAAAAGTACCGTACAGCCCATATATTTGTAATGTACTACACATAAGGTTGCTGAAAACTCCTCGACAGAACACGACCGGTTTCGCTCTTCCACTTCGGGCTCATCAGGTAGGCGCGCAGTCCCCGGGTTTCCGTCAACTTTACGTTCTACTTGAAACCAAATTGCACGAAATTAGCGAATATACACTCATTTGCAAACTAATTTGGTGTTCCTGCGCCTAACTGATGAGCCCCAAAAAAGGCGAAACCGGTCGTTGGCTGTCGACCGATTTTCAGCAACCTTATGGGTAGTACATTACAAATATATACATGTATCGCGATATATCGAATATCGTAGCGACTGAAAAGTGAGGCGGCCTCGTGCAGCACATTCAGTTGCCTGGGAACATCACAAACGAGAGATTCAGCTGGGTTCCAGGTGAACCTCTTGAAAAACCAAATTAGTTTGCAAATGAGTGTATATTAACCCATACCGTGCAGCCTTTTCATCCTTATTCGGAACCGTTAAGGGTGTTCATCTCTGGAAACTCAGGGTCACGGGTTCGAGTCTTCCAGGGGTTTTGAAAGATGCACAGGGAGGAAACAGGTGTAAGGTGTTTCTTGGCTTTTCGGCATAGACTGGCTTCACTAAAAAAGCGAAATCTTTGTTAGAAATTCTAAAATTACGCAAGATGTCAAAATATTCTCATTGCCTTTCATAAGAACGGTCACGGCAGTGAAAGGATTTCAACTTCGTTCTCCCGTCAACATTGACTCAAATTGCGAATGAATCTCCACCGCGACTTACAAAAAGACTGGTGTTTTTGCGAAAAATGAGCGTGATGGAGAGTTAGAGACTAGATTTGTCAAATGAAACACAACACTGGCGAAATCCAGATTGAGCGTGAAGCGTTTTCATCGACTTAGAAGTAGTATCGTCATCCTCCTGTTAAGGGGGTCGAAAATTGTGTGGAGAGAGAGCGTCATGTTCGTATGAGATTGGTGTTTAAAAAACTAATTTTTATTTATCTACTCTCGTGATGAGCAACACACGTAAAGTCCAGTTTTTTTGTCCCAAGGGATCAACATTGTTTTTAATACGTCACAATTTACTTCACTCCTTGCACACCTTAATCAAATTAACCATTCTCAGGGGAACACAGAGAGGTGTTATTATGGCTGAGAAGTAGGCGAAAGACAGAGCATGACGATTCAACCACGACCGATTTTTTGTCAGCCTCCAAGTTATTCGTTCGTATGTGTAAAAAAATTTGTCATCCGAGGAGTGGATGATCTCGTTTGGCAGTCTTTGGCTGGGTAATGGTGGCGACAAAAAAGGTGACCCTGTTAATCATGCAAAAGTACGAATTGAGACAATTCCAGGTAAAATGACATACAAAAAACACTGTTTTCGACTCAAAGTTTAAAATTTGGAATGCACGAGATATGGCACGCGGGGGAGGGGGTAGTTCCTGGTCCTCCCATAAAGATACACTCTGGAATCTCCCGAAGGCGTTCCTTCAAGGGAGGCTGTAGTTCGAAGTGGTAGTACGACTTTGTGTCGAACGGACGGAGAATCTCAACTTCCTTGGGAAGTACTGAGGATGGACCGATCGACCGATGGACTGCACTGACCAGTCTCGGAGTTAACGAACTTTTGGTTGTACACATATGAAAAAAAATCAAATCACCATTGTTTTGTTCACCGTTTCTCCCCGGAAACCACCTGCCACTGTGGTGAATACATCTCAAACGAAGCGGTTTTTCTTCGGTTTGACAGAATGTTTGTGTTATCAGATGAATTGCGAGCTTCCGACAAACGCTACCGCTCCATGTTTCAGCCGGTGAAATATTCCAGATATCCCAAGTTATATTCTTGATGGAACACATACTACTCACAAGGTTGCTGAGAATTCTGTGCCCGTTGACTGCCTATTCCATTCTACATCAGTCCTGTGAACCAACCAATGAGCTGTTCTCCGTCTCTAATCGGGCTAGGTGGCCAGAAATCACACACCAAGGCCCCTCTAAAACATAACTTTGTGCCAATAACTCAGTTCTCACTAACAGAAACGTTTCACTTGCAAAAGCCGGGAGCGTAAGTGAAGTTGTAGTATGCCACAAGATCCCACGATGAAGTGTATGGACGTCGAATCAAATACCCTCCGGGAAAGACCTAGGCCTTGACCGTGATCGGTTAAGTCTGTTCCGACAAGAAGTGTCTGGATATCGTGCCCGCGGCTGAGGCTCTCTCGTTGCTCAGTGTACAGCCAGTTTTTTTTATGGGGGACAAACTTGCTCACCTGGCACCTTTGAAATCTTCGTATTCTGAAAATCCGTCCTCAGGTGTACAAAACTGTCTTTGACCCTCGATAAATACACCAATTCTCATTTCGATTTGGTTTTAATGGGGGACTCACCCGGAACCCGGCTGAGTCTCCCGTTTTCAATGTTTTTAAGCAACTGAATGTTCTGCTGCCTCATGTTTCGTAATAAATATATGGACACAACACACTACTCGTAAGGTTACTGAAGATTCTTAGACGGACCACGACCGATTTCGCCCTTCTTTGGGCCCATCAGGTAGGCGCAGTCCCCGAGTTTCCGTCAACTTTATGTTCTAATTGAACCCAAATTAGACTGTTTTCGAAAAACACCCCCATTTGCAAATCAATTTGGATTTCACTCAACGAAATCTCTCGTTTATGATATTCTACAATTGAATGTGCTGCACAGAGGCCACCTCATGTTTCAGTTGGCACGATATTCCAGATATCGCGGTATATTTTCATAAAGGAAAATACTCAAAAGATTGCTGAAAACTCTTCGACAGCCCACGACCGGTTTCGCCCTTCTACTTCGGGCTCATCAGGCAGGCTCAGTCCCCAAGTTTCCGTCAACCTTATGTTCCACTTGAACCCAAATTGCAAGAAATTAGCGAAATGCACTCAGTTGCAAACTAGTTTGGTTTTGCGACAGACTCACCTGGAACCCGGCTGAATTTCTCGTGTATAATGTCGAGGTTTTCAGCAACCTTAAGAGTAGTATATTATGTCTTTGGTTTTCTTGTGAAGCGTTTGCTGAACATGACATTTTAGCCGTAAATGTCTCATCGGCAGTCACGGTAAACGCCTCTGTGGGTGGTTGCGTCTTGTTTAAGTGAACGGAACGCGTCGGCGCGCGATCACACTGCGCACTGATGATATCGCTTTGATTGGTGGGGAGACGTTTGAAACAAAAATTTGGCACGATTATACCATTAGTTTCGTAATCGGGGACAGAACGATCCATCTATTCTCGAACATTCCAGCGCGAATCCACCAGTTGCTGTTGGTCGCCCTTAGATTAATGACAGCGAGGCGAATAGTCATTATTATACTATGTGGCAAGGCGAATAATTGTCACAGCGACTTCGGGTAGCAGTTGCCATAGCAACACAAAATGTTCGTGGGAGGTCGTACCAGGAATTACTATTCGTCAAATTCTCTGAAAAACGGACACACATGGGTATCTATAACTGTTAATCTATTTTTATTCACCTAAGGGTGGATCCTACAAAACGGGAGGACAATAAGACCCACGGGTGTATCGAGCATTCACCTTGATGAGTGACATTTCGCAAGCGATTGTTTGTAAATTATTCGTTTTCGGTGTGAAACTGTGCCCTTCGAGAAACGTTCAGCCTGCCAGGAGAGATACCACGGCTGGTTTCAAGCTGTGCTATGTTCCACCAGACTTGTGTCGGCGGGTGGAATTTACTAAACTTCAAGCTGATGCATACCATCTGTGGAGTCTGGGGATTGTTAGAGAGCCTCATGTGGTGAGAAATTCGTTTAATTGACCGGATCACGTGACCCTGGCGTTTTACGGATTACGAAGGTAGTGGTGTCTTCTATAATTATATCAAAAGTTACGTGAGCCCGCCGTAGAACCCATGATAAGTTCACTTTCCTACAACGGTCAAATAATGGTGTAACGATGTGTACTACTGAAGAAACGTGCGAGTAGTGCCTGGTTAGGTGACAAATCTCGATTTCTGAATATGATGGAAGGTCAGTACGGGGGCTATCAAACTGTTCCGTAGTTCATTATTGTAGATTTTTGCTTAATATTCAAAGTACATCCAGGAAAGTTTAAGATAATTCTTGAAAATGTTCCACTTTCAACTACTCTGTGCAAATGAGGATTTTTAATTTAATATCTAGTAGCTTGTAGTCGCTAAGTTCGTATTGGCTGATCTAAAACGCTGCCCTGAAAGATGCCTTCCATTTCACCGGCGCCGCCCATGATTGTGCTCCAAGGAGCTGACAAGGCTTGTTGTTCAAGAAACCTCCCCAAGGGAGCACAAACTCTCCAAGCGAATTGCCAAACTGGTAGAATATTTGTTTTCTCATATCCTTCTTGTTTTCCCAAACCAAAGAACATTTGCTGCCGAAACCTGTCGACGTAAATTTTCGGTAAGTGTCGTTTACCAATCATAAAGATGTCTGTGGTACGAGCTCCAACTCGGTATCACTTTCCAAAACGTGCCGGGAATTATGATACCATAATTACAACTAGCGTATATAGCGAAGATTTTAAGGCGATTCTCAAGGTCATTCTCCCGGTTCAATCAGCTGAAGACAATTCGGATGTTGCCGCATAACTGAGTGACACAAAGAAGCTGAAACCAGTCGTGGGCGGTCGATGAGTTTTCAGTAACTTTGTGAGTAGTATATTACACCTAAATGGTGGCTATTTATAAGCTTGGAATTCAATCGAGTGTGGGCATCTTCTGTCTCTATTGGGAAAAATTATCGGGTTGAAGAGATAGAAAGAGGGAGTACGACCACAAGATACCGAGCAATGATCGATCGCCACAGCTGCAGGAGAATGGAAACATTCAAACTTATTTGGGCGGCCGTCCTTCTGTTCTGGCGTAATTAGTCCGGTGAGCCCACACCATAGGGAGGAACTGAACTCGATTTCGCTCTTATTAGAACAGTGCATTTCCAATGTCCGTGCCGGGATTTGAACCCCGGACATCTGATATGCGAGGCGAGCGTGTATCCATTACTCCACGAGCCCACGTTGGATGCATCTGAATTTTCACGTCTGAACATGCGAACGTGTTCACACTTGAGCGATGAGATTAGTGTGCCCGACCCATCGAACGACGACCCAGTAACTGTCCCGGTTTTGACGATCGATCGGTCCGTTCGGCTGGACAGGTTGCCACATGTGTGAACTCACTTTCACCACCACTCCAAATTACCTAGTGTCCATGTGCAAAAAAAACCACTCATCTCACACGCAACTAAATATGTTCAATAATGATGGATTAATATAATTTAGGTGAGGTCCCCGGTGTTCTGACTACACGCTTTTTGCGACCAAGTGGTTGCTGTCCTTCAGTGAATGCACATGCACTCATAAGGTTGCTGAAAACTCTTCGACCGCCCACAACCGATTTCTCCCTTGTTGGGGCTCAACAGGTGGGTGCAACCTTATGATGTATCACGATATCTCGAATATCGTAGCGACTGAAACGTGAGGCGGCCTGGTGTAGCACATTCAGTCGCCTGGAAACATCAAAACCGAGAGATTCAGCTGGGTTCCAGGTGAGTCTCCGTGGCAAAACCAAATTTGTTTGGAAATGAGTGTACTTTGCTGCGCCTTTCAGCTTTCATTGCTCACGCTACTTAAACAAATTCCTCTAAGATCGATCGGGTACATTTGCTTGGTATTTTTTGGTGGTTATGTTGATTGAAACAGACAATTTTCACGTTCGAGCTCTAAGTTTTGTTTAATTCAATGACAGTATAACATAGTCCAATTACCGCAACGATTTCTAAAATATTGCCAAAAATTGAAAACCTCGTTGAACAAACGTCACCAAATTCTGAGTGACTTGTTACTTTCAGTGCTCTTGGCAACTGATTTGCAATTAGTGAATCCTTTTTTTCGTATTTCTTTTGAAAGCACACCCAAGTATGCAATATTAATTTCCCGCCTTGGCATTGATCCGCTGACGTCTTCGTACTTCTCCTGGTCACGTGTTCACATTTGAAACAGAGTTCACTATGTGTTGAACAGCAGATGAGTGGCATAGCGGACGATCCCAAGATCAAAAGGCGTGCAATATTTACATGGAACTCTAAGGCAGTTTACAAAGACCTTACTCGAAGATAACCAAAGCCCTACTCATAAGATTGCTGAAAATCCGTCGACAGCCCACGACCGGTTTCGCCCTTCCACTCGGGGCTCATCAGGTAGGCGCAGTTTCCGTGTTTCCGTCAACCTTATGTTCTACTTGAAACCAAATTGAACGAAATTATCGAGTATACACTCAGGTGCAAACTAATTTGGTTCTTCGAGAGACTCACCTGTGACCCAGCTCTTTTGTGATGTTTACAGGCAAGTGAATGTGCTACACCAGGCCGTTTCATGTTTCAGTCACTACGATATTCGGGATATAGCGATACATGTAATGCACTACTCACAAAACCCACTACTACCAAAGCACACTACTCACTAAAGCCCATTTTTGTTGTTTTCCAACTCAGATTGCACGAACACTACGGTCAGAGCGAATTCCCAACGCGTTGTTCTGACCAATTCGCTTTTTCGTGCGCTGGATTGTCTGTTTACCGGCAAGAAGGAAACCGTATTCTCGCGGACCCTATTGGTTCATTCCAAATCTAATTAGCCGGAGTTTATCCTCGGAAAATAGAATCTTTGCAGATGACTCGATCCAGGTTGAGGGTAGACAATTAAGCTGCCGTATCACTGAGGGTGATAATAGATGATGTAACATCCAACGACGCTTGTTTGTAGAGCAGTTTCGTGCTTATTTGATATGTACCCTAGAAGCGGCAATTTTGTCGCGGATTTCGCTCGCCGTTGTCGGGCAGTTAGTGGTTGAGAAGTGCCTACTCTATACTACCTGAGCTTGGCTTCTAGGTGAGCCAGTGTGATGTAACACACCGTGTGACTCCTTCAGAAAAGGCCACCCATAGCTGGGAACAGTCCAGTGGGGTCTGACGAGGCCCTGCCCGAGATGGACCACCCCTCAACTGCAACTTTTCAAGCTACGAGGATCGGGATGATCAACGTTCATCCAAACAGCGTTACCGACTGACTTTGAAAGCACCGACAGTGAATAAACTTCCGGTAAGATCACGTGCTATGAACGATGGTTATCACGATAGGACTTCGGTTTGTGCTCTTGGTGTTTTGTGAAAGCGAAAACCACGGGGGACCTCAGTAAAACTCATCGACAAGTGCAAGACAGATGATACTGTTGCTCGTATGGATGAGTCTCCAAAAATCGAATCTTGAGTTGTTCACCATTCATTTAAAGGATAGTGCGAAACGAAAAAAGCGATTGACGTAGGATTCATGTGGAAATTCTTTTATGAAACAAATTATTTTGCAAACGAATGTACTTCGCAGGCCTTGTGAAATCAGGTTTACTCGAAACATGAGAACTTGGGTCATGTTCCCAACTGGTGAGCTTCGAGAAGCCTGAAAGAGATCATGGGCTATCAAATACTTTTCAGCAACCTTATGAGTAGTGTGCTCCTAGTTCAGGGGGACTTTTCTGTATGCACAGCTGTATATACTAGGCTCCCGCATATGTGCTTAGGACTGTTGCCATCCATTTAACGCTATGCATTTTAAGTTCACCCGACATTTGCAGTCGACCTCTGCTCTAATGGACAGTGTTTAACTCGGCTTTATTTCTCCAATTTAATCTATAGCTCCTTATTGATTCCTTGATAAAGTATGAAAACAAATACTCTGCTACACAGTTTTTGTTCCAGATTTGTTTCATTTCAGACGAGTAAATTGTACCAATCGCAAGATTGGGAAGTACCTGAAATTCAGTTGTTTGAGAACAGCACAAACGGGCTGGGTTCCAGGTGAGTCTCTCAAAAAATCAAACTGGTTCGCAAATGAGTGTATTTCTCGCAAAACAGTCCAATTTGGGTTCAAGCAGAACATAAGGTTTACGGAAACTCGAGGACTGTGCCAACCTGATGAGCATCGAGAAGGGCGAAACCGGTCGTGAGCTGTCGATGAATTTTCAGCATCCTTGTGAGTAGTTTCCTTTATGAACTTATACTGCGATATCTCGAATATGGGGTGGCCTGTGTGCAGCACATTCAGTTGCGGAATATCATAAACGAGAGCTCCAGTTGAGTCTCTCCTGAAAACCAAACTGATTCGCAAATGAATATATTTCTCGAAAACAGTCCAATTTGGTGTCAGGTAGAACATAAGGTTAACGGAAACTCGGTGACTGCGCCTACGTGAAATGTCGTTAAAATTGCCGGGTTAAGAACTCGGTCAGTGATTATCACAGTTTTTATTGATTCAAAAATGTTATTCTAAAAAGACAGTATCAAATCTGCAGTACTAACCAAAGAGATACCATCTAAACGTAACAGGTTTCCTCTAACTAACAGCAAATCGATTGAACTTAAGTACAAATGTAGCCTACTAATCACGGTACAAGAGAACTCGTGGGGGAAGGTCTAACCGAATGCTGTATCAGTACAACTCGGTGACTGTGCTCTCTGGCTTGCGAGCTTTTTTTACACCTTCCTAAATAGAATGCAAGCTGGTGACCATTCCATAAAGTGCACTGTGGAATGGAGACGAGTTTGTGGTAAGAGCCACTGAGTAAAAAACGAACAGTGACTAAAAGTACCTGTTGACATTGAATTTCCTGAATGGACAAGATAAAAGCCTAGAGTTCCTATGATCAAACATGAAAGTATCAGCGCCAGAAGATGTTAAACATGGTGATTTACCAGCCCTGAACTAAGAATCAATCGGCGTAAATATCCAAAAATGAACAGATACGTTTATTTTCCACACTCCAAGCGGAAAGTGATATGAACGGGTAAGGTCAGGCGTGAATTAAATGGCTGAGTGAAATTCGTGTGTACATATATAATGCGACCATTGGACATTTCTTACGGTTAAGCGGGAAGAGGCAAGTGATCAATAGTGTCCTGTGAAAAATGATCGATCAGTTTGCGTCATAGTCAATGATGCTCAGTTGACGTCGCCTAATTGGCTAGTTTCAAGGACGTGCTTGCTAACCCATGACTGCGGGATTCGAACTGGTTGTTTTTACTTTTTTTGGCAAAACGAAGGCTTTCCAAGACCTCAGATCCATGATTTCTCTCCGTTTGTTCCAAAATACAAAACTGAACGCAGTCGCAAGTGAAAAAGTGAATAAAACCTGAAGTTGCGTCTCACTGTCTTATTGTATCTTATCCTGTCGAATATTCGCCTAAGATTTTTTTGCCAGAATCGAGATTTTCAACTTTATTCGACTTGGATTTTCCTCACATGCTAGGTAAACAACCCTAAAAAATGGGTCACTCAAGTTAACACGATGACTGAATGTTGGCTTTGTCAAAAATTGTGTACAGATAAGTGTGACAGGTGTAAACAAATAAACGAATGCAGTATAGATACAGGATTATTGACCATAGGGTGAATGTCGCTATCATTGACTACCGATACTAAATCAATTCCATCAAGGAAGTCAATTCCCGGGGCCCCCGTCGCGCACTAAAAACCTAAAAAGAGCCCCATTGTAGTAGGAACAATAGGTCTGTATGAACTGCAACGTGACAAAACATTCCACGCGACAAATTGAACGTTATTTGCTTGAAGAACGAAGCTGAAACATCAACTTCTTGGGGTCTGTAATCGATTAGAAACCACTGAGACAAAAGCAGTTTCCAAAAAACTGTAGTTGTAGCCAAGCAAACATCCCAAGGTTCCGCAACCAGATTAAGGATAGCAGTTGCGCTTCAGACTCCCTGCAAAAGCTAACAAACCGGTGGACACCTTGGGACGCTAGAAGTTTGCAAACAGAGCTTTTCTCCTCGTTGCAAACGATGAGGTTATGCTGTCGCCTTGGTATCCCCTGACCAAGACGCGTTACCACTCTGAAACCACTCGGAACGAATGAACGGCCCCTTCACTCGCCACTATGATCACACGTCTGTAAATACACTGTTGACTTCTAATCGACAAGTATCCGGTTCTTGGACTTCCTGTTTACTCCACTACAACTCTTGTTTACTAACTGCCACAAATTCTATGCAAAGTTTCGCAACCAGTTCTTCAACGTGCAATCTTGGGAAGTATGAAAAACGCGATCACCACATTGCCTGATTGCAAGTTCTTTGGGAATATCAAGAACTCTTTGAAGATAACCATCTATTGGAAGATGACACCTTCCGACCATGACGTGGTTTCTACCTCGGTACATGTGACAGGCGTCGATTCGTTCATTTGTTCACACCGGAGTTTCGTTAAGAAATCTTTGTTCAATTGAATAGCNCTAATTCTGAATGACTTAATTCTGAGGTAGTGATTCCCCATGACTGGCTTACCGCATAGGAGCAACCAATCACGTGCTGTGCGTGCAAGAGTCCAAAATTGAACCGTGTCTTCTGATGAAATCTTGTGAGTAGTGAACAGCTGATTCCTAAGAAAAGAAGTTCCGAATGTATAAACACGCAGCTGTCACAATCAATGGTTCGATCATAACTTTGACGGTTTATCTGGACAGAGCCAACATCGGGTTACAGATGCTGCTCTTGGGCAAAACAGAGACTGTTTTCCGGAAGTCACTTACAACCCCGTCAGGTTACGGTGGTGGACAGCTCGTAGGCCAAAAGCTGTCCGGTGGCCCAAATGCACTCTGAGCAGGCACATATAACCGGCTAATTCAAGACAATACCCAGCTTTTTCCTTACAGCGATGGTCACTCCCAGTAGCGCTAGAGGCTTACCGCTGAAGAGTGGAGCCTTGTTGACACGGATGACGCCCACCTTGGATTTACAGAGGATCTGCAGCACTAATATGCCCAGTCCAGAATAGTCGGTCTACTACCTGGACCCGGTACACCGAATGACTCATTGTGTGAAGTAGGCAGATTTTGATTGGTGCTCACAAGAACTCACTTCTGGTTGGCTCACAATGCATAGACACGCTGTATTACTAAGGTTCTATTCGTTAAATTAACCACCAGTGTTTCATTGGTTAGAATATATTTTTACTAAAAAAATATCCTGAATCACCAGACTGTTACTGGTATGAAATATTAACCCATCGTTCATTTTAGTTAAATTTGTCTTTAATTAATAAAAACTGATTGATTTTCCTTATTTCCAAGCAGAGGAGGCACTCTTGTGAAAATCAATCAAACTTTCTAAGGGAAGAACCAAACAAACCCTTCTTTTTTGGTGTTGCCCTGAGACAACATTCACAATCGGTGTTGGAGGGAAAAATAACTAGACTAAAAACTGTTGGAACCGTTGTTATAATGAATGTATGCTGAGGCGCGCAAAATACCCCACCGAAAAGAATAAGAAACAATCGTAGGTTTGTAATCCACTACTCACAAGGTTGCTGATAATTCGTCGACAGCCCACGACCAGTGTCACCCTTCTTGGGGATCATCAGGTAGGGGCAGCCCTCAAGTTCTACTTGTGACCAAATTGCACGAAATTAGCGAAATACACTCATTTTTGAGGGGTTCGAATATCGTAGCGACTGAAACATGAGGCGGCCAGATGCACCACATTCAGTTGCCCGGAAACATCACAACTGAGAGATTCAGCTGGGTTCCAGGTGAGTCTCTCGAAAAGCCAAATTAGTTTGCCACACCATTCGAAGGAAGCACGAGGGCTGGGATACTGCCTAGACAGGAGAGTCGGAAGGGCAGAGATCGGGTTTGAACCACGGACCTTCCGCTCACTAAGTTCACGCCTTAACCCTTGAGCCATCTCGAGCTCAGTTCGGTTTATATCAACAAACATAAAATCGTTTGCTCTTAGAGCCCATGAATATCCCTTTATTCTGCCAACATATATGAGTATTTGACGAACAAATGGTCGATTTCCACGGTCATCGATCAGCAATCGCACCTTGAAAACTGACTCGGTGACTGAGATCAACTGAGCGATGTTCATCATGATTTGATATAACCTGAATATCTGCAAAAATCGCTTCATTACTCGCTATCGGCCAGATGAATGCGCGCGGACGTTTGACGGAAACCACTTTTGCCTGAACTGCTTCTCAAGTGCGCCGCTTGTCACATCGCAGTGAGTAGATAACAATGTTGGCGGCTTGCCGGATAAAGGCCTGCGAAAGGGATCAAGTGACACACCCCAGATGTCATGTTATCTTTGGGTTATGTCAACCTGAACTAGTATAAACACCACGGCGGTTTCCGCAGAAACATAGTTTATATGGTCGTGAGCTGTCGACGAATTTTCAGCAACCGTATGAGTAGTACATTACAAAATAAAGTTTATATGTTCTAGTCTGCATGTTTCTATTTATATGGGGATTATCGTTTTACCGGTGTGATAAAAAAAACAAAAATGCACCTATCTGGCCTTGGGAACTCCAGTGACTGGAGGGGTGTGTACAGCCCCCTCGGGATTCATGGACGATGCGGGCGCACTTGCCAAGGAATCGGGGGACTATTCCAACGCACTGTCTTTTGGGCAGAAAGACAACTATTCTACTTTCCAGCTCTTAGATCAGCGCAAGATTTTTTTAAAATTTTTCTTCAAGTCAGTAGCTCATAAATGTCTGTAGGGTTTGAGGAAAATTCGGCTAATGTGAGCAACAGCCTACTTAAATGACTGCAGCCGGACTACAGGTCGGTCAACCGGGGAAGATACCTTGAACTCAGAGTTGAACTACCTGGTTTAGGTGAATTATTGTCCCAGATTTCTCCCCTGGTCTTTATACTGGCCTTCTTATCGCATGAGGTGAAATTAGAACTCTTCCAGTCATTGTAGAAATTTAAATTTCTGCATTATAGACCCAAATATTTAGGCTGATCTATTTCACTGATGTCGCCCGCGATGCGGCGTTCATCTACGTCAAGGCCGTCGCAATAAACACAAGTGAAAAATTCACAAGATGAACGAAGCTGGTTACCACCTGTTGTGGACTTGGCGATTGTAAGATGAGTAGAGATATACTCTGAGAGTTATTCACAGTGCCAACCGGCTTCTCGTGTCCAAATGACTGTGTTTTATAACTAACAAGTCGCAGGTTCAAAATTTCAAACAGTCCCGTGAAATGTTCATTGCTGGTAATCATGAAAGAGAATGAAACAACTCTACAGTGCTTCTCGGCTTTTCGAAATAGATTGGCTTCAAGACCATCAAAAAGTCCAAAGTCTTCCCGTCTCACTAAGAATATTGTGGAGCCTTTGGAACACCTTGATATCCCCAGTTTTTTTCAAACTCGTTTGGTAAATTTAGCTTAGTAAGGATGCTAAATTCCTTCAGGAATATCATGAATTTCACTCAGCGATCGTTAAGTATTGTTTCTATTCACTGATAGAACTAAATAATTTATTGTGGAACTGGTTTAAAATTTTCCCTAACAAAAAAGCCCCAACGATATGGATAACTTACCACAGTATGTTCCCATTCCACAAGCCTAATGTAATAGTGGTGTTGGTCACGTGACACCGTTTTCACAAAACGGTTTTTGAAGCATCCATTAATAGTATCAGATTTCACACACACAGGATGCCTTTTGTTGGCGTACAAACATGAGCAGTACTTGTAGGAATCCAACTTATTCGTTAATTTATATACCTCACGAACATTTTGCTAAGCTCAGAATTGTCCAATCAAATAACAGCTTGGTAGGACTGATCTGATTGGCTCATACAAACCACACGTAAGAAATATCACTCAGGCTGCGATGACCGTCCAAAACGTTGTCAGTGTATCTAGTCTAATGGAACAGAAAGGTAGTTTTCGCAACAAAACGCACAATATTAGATGTGCTTTTTTTCGGAAAAAAGTATTACTACGTGTATTTTTTGGAAGAAATTCGGAGAATTAGTTGTGGTGATTCTATGCGCATTCAATTGTGAAGCTGTGAAGCCATGCAATCATCAAGTGCCCTCAAATTTAAACAACGATCAAGAGATTCCATTAGGAAAAAACGATGTTTTCAAAATGGCATGAAGCTACAGAAGCCATTTGGTTTTTCTGTGACGTTATTTTGAGAGGGGGGTGGACCGCATTATTTTTAAACCACAGTTTTTCCGACAGAATATTTGTCACCAATCTTTGTAGCCTTGTTGGCACCTGAGGATACCGCGTGCATTTTGTCATTTTGACGGAGAATTTGAGTGAACATCCACTGGATAACTGTATTGCGTTGGAGAATTTCTGAAAGCCCCTTCAGTTGAAGTAGACCAATATGTAGGGGCGATTCAGCAAAATTCATTTGAGGCTCTCATCAAAACCAAATTCGTATTCAAATGAGGGTATCTGGAGAAATTGTCTTTGATCCAAAGTGTTGCTGCCCGATCCGTTGCAATGTTCCGCGTCTCCTGGGTTGAACGAGCTTAAATGGGGTACCACTTGCGATAAAGTTATGCCCCCTTTACTCATCTCGTAAGAACTGACGGAAAGCATGTTACGTTATGTTGGCCCTTCCTTTATTGTTTTAAGTCGTGGAGGCAAAACAGATAAGTTATGCAGATGAAGAGTAGAAACGTTGTTCAACTCACACTGTTGGGCTGAGTTCTGCAAGTAACCCGACCACGGTAACCAAATCGCTTGCTTCAACAGTTTGTCTGCACATGGGTTCCGGAGCTCATCAGTTGTCGTCAGAACCCTAGGGTTTGTGCCGTTCTATCCGATGGCCAGTATCGAACGAATGTCTGGATATTGGCGAGGAAGGATTGCAACTTGACCTCCGACCTCCGTGGCAGTATTTGGTGGAATGATCCTCCACTTACGTGTGGGGGGAGGGAGACGGCTTAGACAGCCTCGGTCCACGGTTATGAAGAGCGAATCCTCTAACGGTCGGTATGAGGTGTAGTGGGTGCGGTATAAACACCTTTTAAAGCCAGTGTTTTATGTCGATTTGAACGTGGTAACCTGTGAACAGGGGAAACAAGCATAAATCTTCTCGTCTGGTTCAATGAACTGGGACTGTCTGTGTTCCAGCTCTATCGTGAATTTCAGTAGAGCACTCGGCAGCGGGGTTTCTTCTCTTGCTCTATTCTATCGTCTCTGCAGTTTGCAGAATCACGTCCGTACCAGCTCGCGCTCATAAATTATTGGGGTGTCAGTGGACAGCGGTGAATATTGACCGTTCAACATGTTCCTCTGGAAGACAAAAGGCAACACGGACCTGTGGGCCCATAAGTACATCAAAGAACGCTAGGCTGTCACTCGATCCCCATCCAAACGTATCACGAAGGTGGCAATGTGGTTGTCCAAAGTGGGCCATATGTATCAGTAATATATATCTATATCAGTAGTAACCAAAAACTATCACCAACAGAAGCTTTGAAATTTCACTCGCAGCCTTTTGTTCAGTAATGAATTTTATGGTCACTAGGGGGCCAAAGAGAGAGGCGAGAGGTGAAATCTCTTGGAATTAAGAACAAAGAGAATAGATAGAACTGAATTTCTGGGACTTCACCGGCTAGATGGCCTGTATGTTCAAAAGAATCCTTTGAGCAGTGAAGGGATAAGCGTTTGGGTCTCGAGTCTGATATGCAATTTCGTGGCACGCTGCACAAAAGTGCACAAAAGTAGACCTTAGGGAGACACCGTCCTTGTGTATTTTGAGGGACTTGACCTTCATAGTTACCCCGTGTTTCAGGTACTGACCATCCTGAAACTTCTCTCTCGACTCTTTGGAGTGTTCTCACGTCTGAACTTCAGAGGAGAGCACTCATTTTTTGCAGATACCAATGTCTACACATAGTTATCATGGCCGATCTTTGCCTGGTTAGACCACAGATGCTTGGTGTTCCTGGGTCGTTGATCAGATGGCCGTTGATCTGTTCGCCGAGCTTGGCAATTGGCTTTTGAGCGTTACCTCACCAAGACATCATCAGAGCGCTGTGGGGTGGATACTTCTTCCCTACCTGTGTGCGTCCGTGTTTCATTTTTCCCAGGTTCCCGATGGCTCCGCTTTCAAACAACCTTTGTACCGGAGAGGACAGGCGTGAAGTGTCGGCCAGCAACCTTTGCCTGTTAATTTTGAAACTCATTTCAAGTGACAACACTTCAAAATGAGGGTGGGTTAATTCGCTTTGAGCGAGGGTACGAAGGTTTTAAGAACCAGCACATTGAACTATGGACATGTCGGCCAAAAGATTGATTGCGATCTACCAAAAATCACAGTGTTTTTTCCTTAGTTCTGTTCACGACGTCTTGGAAAAATAACTTTACAGTTGAGCGTGTGTTCCACCAAGTCCGAACGACGTTTGAACAGATTACAAACGGAATATACTAAAAAAACTCCAATGAGTGGTAATG